CTTCAGACGGGCCCGGACATGTACTGGCTTAAGCAGGGGGACACGTCTGACACTGCAGGATTTGAGTCCCTGGCGGCGTAGTGTGTTACTGATGGTAGCCTTTGGTCCCAGCTCTCTGCAGGTCATTCACTAGGTCCCCCCGTGTGGTTCTGGGATTTTTGCTCACCGTTCTTGTGATCATTTTGACCCCACGGGGTGAGATCACAATGCAGTCACAATGCAGGAGATCCATGACCCAATCATCCAATTTATTTACTGTTTAACAGAGCAGTGAGGCTTAATCTGGCGCTTTACACAAAACATAGGTATCAATCTGAGAAGGATGGAAGAGCATAAATATCTGACACCAGCCCTCTGAGTAGAACTAATTGAAGCTCGAAGGTGTAGGTCTTTTTGCCTTTTGAAGTCCCTGCAGTTTTCTTGGCAATGTTTTTTTGGAAGTGGTTTGCCCTCGCCTCCTTCCCGGGCTTAAAGAGAGTGACTGGCCCAAAGTCACCCCGCTGGCTTCGTGCCTAAGGCAGGACTAGAACTCACAATCTCTGGGTTTCTAGCCTCATGCCTTAACCACGACACCAAACTGGCTCTCTGAAAGAGTAACTGGAAGACAGCAAAAATGAAAGGGTGCTTTTCTCCAGCATCAGGGTTCCAGTAAGAAACGAAAATCATGTATTAGGTATGTGCAAAACATGGTTGAGATCGTGCCAGTTTAGTAGTTTTCCACAAGTTATTGATCTGGAACACATGGTTCTGGATGACTCCGAATATTCTGTTTTGAGAATGGTTGGTTTTGCCCATACCTGTGCTGTGTATTTTACAGAACTTTCAGGGTTGAAGGCAACAGTTTGATTACAGAACTTCAGTTGGGCTGAACCATGAGAAGCTCACCTCTCTGCCTGTGGGGCCTGAGCCCCTGCAAGACTTGGTTGGTATCACCCAGCCAGCAGCTCCTCCATTTTTAAAATCTCATCCCTCCTGCATAAGGTCAAAGTTGTATTCCTTTCCTTCGTCTGTGAATCCCTTTGGAGAGTCCCAACCAAGGGATGGAAGTGAATGGCTGGATTTACCATACAGCAGCCAACTGATTCTGATTCTGGTTGGGAGTTGCAATGCTTTCCAACCCAGAAGGGCACTTGGTTTGGAAATAGTGGCCGCTGAGCCACACAGCTCGCTTCCTCTCTTAACTCTAACCCTTTTGTCAATCCACAGACTCTGGAAGGCTTCACTGTGTCCCTTCACATTCAGAAGAGTATCTTCAGAACCACATCGGTTAGACATTTTATTTTTATGGTACAGACAAGAGGGGCTGAGACAGGATGGGGGTGGCCCGGCCTGGCCTGGCCTGGCGTGACAAAAATGCTGATATTGGCCACTCTGGGAGGCAGACTCACTCGTGCATTGTCTGAAGGATCTCAGTGACAAAGTTCTCTGTTATTTCCATCAGTTGCTACTGTCAGTTGGGAGAACTTTATGATAGAGGGAACCAGAAAGTTGCAGTGATTTTTTGTCCCTCCATGCCAGGATGGGTGACATACAGCTCTCTGTTGTTTACTTGGGCCTCTGCTTAATTTCTTTTATGAGAGATAAGCTTAGAGCTCTAGCAAGAGTGCCTGCTGCAAATTTATAGCAAAGAAAAAACAGCAGAAAATAATTTAGTGGGGAAGCAAAAAACAGGTAGACCCATTCAACTTAATGCCCAGATCTCTTGAGCAATTTGTTACATCGAAGGCTGTGGGAATCATGCCATCGATTTTGGCACCCTGGACTGCTGCCCAGTTAATTGTAGTGCAGCTAAGTTTCTTCATATGTGAGGTGCCTATTGCTTTTGCAATTGGATTTCCATTGTGTACAACTGCAAGCTTTAGGCAGGATCCTGTTGGTGTGGTAAGACTTTGCTTGCAGAAAGAAACACCAGGAGAAGGTCTTTGCTGCTTCCAGCCCCTGACTCTATGCTCAGCATTCTGAGTTTTGGAGTACCTTCATAGCTATTCATCCAGGCAGATGACTCTATGGCAGTGTTTCTTTAAGACTGGCTGGGGAATTCTGGAAGTTGAAGTCCACACATCTTCAAGTGGCCAAGGTTGAGAAACACTGCTTTCTGGTGTTCTTGATGAGTGATCTCTGACCCTTCATGGTTCTCTTCTTCCAGTGAGCCACCGGTCACAGTCCCACCAGCCATCCTCTCAGCCCCAGCGGACCCTGCTTCAGCATGTGGCCCAGTCCCAGACGGCGACACAGACCTCAGTCGTGGTGAAATCCATCCCCACCTCCTCTGCTGGTGCCATCACCCACATCATGCAGCAGGTTGGCTGCACTCCATTGTGGGGGGGTGGGCTCTCCAGCGTTGCACAGGATCTGGGGCAGTACCGTGTGGGGTTCTCCGTGAAATTGAAAGGCAGTTGATGGTCAGGGAAGGCATGGATGTCCAGCTTATTTTTGGCATCGGTTTGACCATAGACCACCTTCTCTGAGCTCTATACTTGGGGTTGGGGAGTGGGGGAATGTCTTGAGGGCTTAATGTACCAGTAAGAAAAACGCATAAAAAGATTTTTTTTGGTACTAACCCTACTCTGATATCTCTTGCTTTACTTCTACAGGCAATCCTTGCTTAATGACCACAGTAGGGACTGTAAAATTGTTCATTAAGCAGGGCAGTCATTAAGCAAGTCACCACATGACCAGACCCAGTTTTAAGACCATTTTTACAGTGGTCATTAAACAAATCATGTGGTGGTTAAGCAAATCCAGCTTCCCTAATGGATGTTTTTTTGCTGGAATTCACTTAACGACCATGTGATTTGCATAACAACCATGGTAAAAATAGGTCGCAAATCATGATCACATGACTGGGGGTGATGTGATGGTTTGCAATGGTTGTAAGTGTGAGTATAGGTTATAAAGCACTTTTTCCAAGGCCATCATAACTTTTAACTCTCATTAAATGAGTAGTTGTTAAGCGAGGACTACCTGTAGAACACAGGTGGGCAAACATCTCTGAGCAGGTCTTTCTTTTCACAAATGCTTTGGACCTTTTGGGGGGCTTCCAGGCCAACTTGAAAAATCCTTTGTATGGAATTTGAAAGGGTTCCCTTAGCAGTTTGGGTACTGACTGGGTTTCCCCAGCCCAGCATCCGCCAGAACAGATGAACTCAGCTTCTTTAGGGCTCTGAGAAGCCTGGGGTAGAAACACCGTACTCTGTGCATCCTCTGCAAATGCATTTTTTCCTCCATTCTTTCTTGCCCGAGATCAAGTCAGGATCAGGAGAACACAGACTGCTGAAATAACTCTTGTGATTAAAGTGGAAACAATCTGTTTTCGTTCAAGCCAGTGAATTGTTAATGCCTTGGATCATTTCCGGTCTTGAAACCTTCTTTAGATAGATCTCCTCCATGCATGAGGTTGGGGGCAAGGGACTTCCCCCCAGACTCTTGGTTACACCCATCTGTTATCCCCACCAGTGAGGTAGTCGGGCGTGCTTGCTAAGGTTGAAGGGGGTGGTAGTTGAGCCCATCCTGAGGACCCCAGCTGAGTCAGGCTGGTCCAAACGCTGCCTTTGACGGGCACCTTCTCTCCTCTGTCTTCCAGGCCCTGAGCAGTCACACGGCCTTCACCAAACATAGCGAGCAGCTGGGCACCGAGGAGGGGGAAGTGGAAGACACGCTGGACCCCCAGACGGGGCTCTTCTACAGGTCCGCCTTGACGCAGGTGCAGAAGCAGCAGAAGCTGAGCCAACCCCAACTGGAGCAAACTCAGCTGCAAGTCAAGACCTTGCAGTGCTTCCAAGCCAAGCAGAAACAGACTATCCACCTGCAAACCGAGCAGCTCGCCGCCAAGATGCCCCAGATGCCCCAGCTCTCCATCCGACACCAGAAACTAGCCCCTCTCCAGCAAGACACTGCTCCCACCAAGCTGGACCCCCAGCAGGCCAGCGCCCCCTCCGTCACCCGCGAGAGGCAGCTGCCCACCTTGGTCGCCCAGCCCCAGCAGACTGTGGTTCAGGTGCTGGCGGTCAAAACCACGCAGCAGCTGCCCAAACTTCAGCAGGCCCCCACGGCACAGAAAATCTACGTCCAGCCCCAGAGCCAGCTGCAGCTCCCTGCCGCTCCCGAGAAGCAGCCCACAAGCCAGGTGAGACACGTGAGGGGGCAGGGGGAAGGGGTGCCAGCTGTGTCCACCCCAGGACCCGCTCTGGGGCCCTGCCTCAGCCTGTTTGGAAGCCGGCAAGGGCGGAGTGAAGGAGGCCAAGGCTGCCTTGCGTTGCCCAGCAGCTCCTGTTCTCCAAGGCTCTTCCTTCTGCTGGGGGTGCTCAAAACGCTGGCATCTTCTTATGGGGTTCGTAAACGGGGTGGCGTATGCTGTCAGTGTGCTTTTGCTGTTGCAAACAGGATCCACTTCCTTTTGGAAGATGGTTGGAATGCCCACGTGGTTACCCCCTGTCTGAAAAGGGGTCACAGGAGCCCCATGCCCGGGAGAGATTCCGGGGGCGGGCAGCATTTATTTATGTATTTAACCACCTATCTCACGCGAGTGCATCTTCTATTTTTGTCTTCTTTTAAGGCAGGGGTGGGCCTGGAGCTAAACTTCCTTGCTTATAATTTTTGGGATTGCCAAAATCGCCATCATGACCCAAAGCTGGTGGAATTAAGATTTACTGGAAGAAACCAGGATGTGACTGGGTGCTGCTTTCTTTAAAACCGAATGAAACCCATCTTTTGGCCTTCCAGTTTCCAAATTTGGGTGGGAAATTGCACCTCCATTCTTCAGTGGCTTCCCCCACACTTCAGCAGCCCACCTCCAGGGCAGATTAGGGGCTCTGAAAAATGTGAAGTGTCTTTTTTTTGGTGCTAAATCCAGAGGCTGGTGACCCACTGGATTTCCACACCTTTTTCACTGGATTTCGGTACTATGGAGTCACATACAAGTGAGATGGGTTGAAATCAACCCTCGGAAACTACCCAGAGATGCACACGTTACCTTGACAACAATACAGAAGTATTTTTTGGCACTGCTGTGTTCCTGGGGGTCTCCCATCCAAGTGTTACTGATTCTACTTAGCTTTTTCAGGATCAGCCAAGATTGACTAGGCGCTACCATCTGCTGTAGCTCCAGAGCATCGAGGGAAACGAAGACGTTGCCCAACTGCCCTTGCTGGATAAGCTTGTAGCTCAGTCTGGTGCAGAAGACGATGCCACCCTTTCCCTTTCATTTCCAAGAGCTGCATTTCAATCTAGGATGATTCCTCCCTCCCCCTGTACTTCACCCCAGTTGAGGTTTAAGCTTTAAGGTGAAAAAGGAGGGGAGGGCAGAGCCAGCTGGCAGGACAGTTGCATGGGGGAAGAGGCTGAGCTGTGAGTGACTAATGAGGACCAACCTCACCCCCTGCCCAGAGCAGCCACTTAATGACACCAACAAAGATGGCCCATTCTCCAGGCCTCCAGGCCCCAGCTGATCTTCCAGCGCATGTTGCTCTGGGAGGGTCCTTGCCGCAAAGCCCAGTGGGTCAGCAACGGGGTCTGCGTGCACAGCTTCCCTGGGAGCATCTCACAGTGAACCCTCCTAGGGCAGCAGCCGGATGGTGTTTCCATGGGGAGGCAGAGGGTCTCGAGCCACGCCTGTTCAGGGACAGATGAAGATCAGGGTCTGCACATATCCTAGCCTGCCTTTCTTGTAGGCAATCAGTCAGGACACACACCTTTGTGGTTGCCAGCACATGACGGTGCAAGAAGGGGAAAAATATAGATGAAATCAACGTTTGAAGAAAAGCAGGAATTTTCGAAAGATCTTCCAATGTGGCCAGATTTTGGCATTGAATGCTAAGGTCTCACAGCTATGGATGATCTTGAGGGTTTGGGCCATCTTTGTAGTGTGTCGATGTGTGTATATATATGCAGGGGTGTTGTGGCATTTGCTGTCAATTGTGCTGATAAAATATGTCCTACAAATAGGCCAGGTCTGTACCATATACTTGTATGGGCCAGTTCCAGATCTAGGGGCTGCATTCAAATATAAATA